GCTAGAATAATTCCAATTAACAGATCAGTGAAAAAATATACTTAAGTTATGCAAAAGCCTGAATGTGAAGGTTAACACTTAACACTTTCTAGATATAAAATTTTAATAGTAGCCAAACTAATAATAATAAAACAATGATGTTACATTTTTACATTGTTATATACTCTTCAAAGATTTTTTTATCACTGTTGTAGAAAGAAGCTATTATTATTCCATAATATCTTCCATCTTGCTTAAATTTCATGCAAGCAGTACAAAATACAGCACATTATTATAAATAAAAGAGAAGCAGTTTGATTACAGTGACCTCTAGTTACAATGTGAACTCTCCCAATTTATAAAATTACTGTAATGCAGCTATAGTTTTTATGTTGTACAGTTCTACATGAAGCAACATAACTTGGATGTTTATAATAAGAGCAAATCTATTAAAATTAATTTCATTTTATTTTATCTTTTAAATTGATAGTGTATTTTAAATTTATATGTATAATATTTTAGTAATAAACTGGATTACTTAAAACAGTATATAAATTTTAACTGAAAATTATATCATCACTAACCTCCCATCCATAAGTACTATTACAAGTTAATAAAATTTATATTTATTTCCTCTGCATAACATAAAGCTTTTAAATAAAATTTGAAGGTCTCTCTGATGATAATATAGTAAATACATAGTCACTGTAGGTTAATGAGATGTGCTCTTTCCTTGACTAAACTGTGTACTCTATAATGTCATGTAACAAACTTACCTACCTTATTATCACACAGTGATTTCCTTTAATTGCTTACTTTAATGTAAATATTAAAGTAATAGCAATCAAAGGAAGCATAGATTTTTATTTAATGTTGTATTACACATTAATATAAATTACATACATTAAGAAAAATCTTAAGAAGCATCTTGCTTCCAAAGCAGCAACTTGCAAAAACAGATTTAAAGCATAATTTATTTCAGCTCTGATCTTTTATTCTGTGGATCTGTTTTGAACAACCAGAATATCAGGCACAAAAGATTACAGGGGAAAAAAAACATACAGTAGGTAGAGCTCCAAAACTCTAGTGAATTGGATCTGATATTAAAGAGACTACAATGAAAAGTGCTTTGTTAATAAAGATGTCCAGTGAGAGAAAATGAATGAATAGAATTTTATCAGTGTAACATCTGAGAATGTAACAGGAGAAACAGGAGCGGTCAGAGAATTTTCAGCAGGACTTAGGATGGTTCCAAATTCCTGAAAAAATCCTGAACTCTGCAGAAGAA